CCTTTGGATTTGTTCACATCAGAATCATCATAAACATTCTACAAGGGCGACAGAATGCCCCCTCATTCACAGATGCTTGTAAGTATCAGTATGGTGAGAGGTAGCTGAGGCTAAAGGCCCAGGACTCATGAAGGGAGCGTGTGCGTGTATAGAGCAGCCCCTGATGCCTCCGTAGTGACTGACCTGCGCCTCACTCTCTCCCCCAGGAAACTCTGAAATGACGTTCAGCCTCAGTGAGCAGCAAATGGAGAGCACACAGCCAGGGGACCCTCGCACCATACACATGTCAACTAAAAACTAACTTCATCAAGCCTGTCTCCTACACCGAAAATCTTTTTCCTCTCATTTAAATAAATAATTATGGTGAAAATTGTTCTGATTACAGTTCTGGAGGCTTTATATAAATTAGCTTTATATAATTTGAGCACAGAATGTAAACATACTTGGTACCGATTTGTAGAATTCTGGATTTGAGCACACTTTTTACCACACATGCTCATTCAGCCAAATATTTGATTAGATTATTCTATTTTCATATTTCTTTATTTTATTTGGTAGGAATTCTGTTGAGGTTAATGTCTAATGTCTGCTTTTAGGTGTGGGTTTGGAGTTGGATTTTTTACTGTTCAACAAATATCTGCATTTAACAGATGGAGAGGTAATAAACATGCAGATATGTTACAATGTTATTGTACTTGATACTGTTAATGTCGACATCATAAACACTTGCCTGAAAGCGCAAAAATAAATACCATACAAACATGTATCCATGGCCTGTGACTACCATGCTGTCAGTATTCACTGTTCATTCACACTGGGAGGCTATGTGCTTTTGGTTTTGTGCTGCATTGTTTTCTACAGTATATCAATGTGGTGCATGAGTTTTAATGTAGACTTTGTTTGGTTGTGTTCAAGCCCTGGTTTAGTCCCAATTATATTTGGCATTGGCATTGTACAACTTAAACCTTCAAAACAAAGATGACACAAGTAAGTAAAACCTCATCGGTCCTCATCGGTCCTGAGTGTTTAGTACCCCAAGGATCTATACTTGCGCCTTTGCTTTTTACACAAAATATTCTCCCCCTTAGTCCTGTTATTAAACCTGACTTTCTATTGTATTTCTAGACTCTATCCGTTGCTAAGCTTTGTAAGTGTAAATGTGTGGAAAAGGTAGGGTATGGATGTCTCTAAATTGATAGTCCTTTAAGGATACAGGTTATTGTTTTGACCCAGATTTAAAACAACACACACACACACACACACACACACACACACGCACACACTGCTGTGGAAAATGTATGTGTAAAGTTGGAGCTCACTCCTTAAATGGAATGATGCAGGGTGCTCAGAGTTCAAAGTATTCTGCCTTTTAAAAAAAAATGCCCATCATTTGGTTTTGACAAAAAAGTTTTACAATAAAATTATTAATTTAACATTCTAAAAGGACAAAATGAATAGTTTCTATAATTTGTAATGGTTGAAAATAAATCATAATATTTTGTCTTTAAAACTTGACAGTCAAAAATCCCCTCCAACTCCATCAGCTGGCAAAAACACAATTTATAGCGATCCCGTCTACAACATGTTCAAAATGCTGCCGCTCCTTTACTCCTACAGCAGCACACCAGTCTTAAAGTCACTGCACTGGCTCCTTATACATTTCCACATTGATATTAAAGTTGCCTTATTGGTATTTAAAGGTCTTCACAATCTGAGCTCCTCTGCATGAACTTCTGCATGATCTTCTTAAGACATATACAGTACTTCTGACTCTCTCAGGGGGCTGATCTCTCCTTATGGCCCGTCAATGCCTTTGTTTTTTTAAATCTTTTGTTCATATCACTCATTTTAAGTGCAATCATTGTTAGTGCCCTTTGATCAACGGCGTTGTTACAGTGAGTTATAAAAATAGTTGGGTCGAATTACAGCATATCACTGTTGCAAACATCTATTTCCCTGTGCCCTAATCTTTATTTTATAGTTTTGTTTATTTATTACCAGATCCTCTTCACATGCACATCTTTCACTTGTGTGTCAGCATGAGACCAAAGAAAAGGAAGCTCTGCACATCACTGCAGATATATCAAACATATTGGGCTCTCATCTGAAAAAATGGTAACTGGTAAATCGGAATTTGGACAAATTACATTACGGTAATATTCTCTTTCCACATCACAAATCTATCCTCCCTACAATTTAATGAAGAGGGGCTCAGCTATCCACAGCGTCACGGGCAACATGTGTGTGGCATTTAAGTCCCATTGTGCTGTTGCGATGTTAGTGTGTGTGTGCCGTGTCATGTCTTAGGAGGAGACAGAGATGAAGAATAAGACAGGAACAAGGACCCATCTGTCAGCAAAGAGCACCAAACACTCCCATCCTTCCCCAAGTCCCCAGGGATATACGCCAAGACAACTCACTTGAGCTGGTGATTTTGTGACCCCCCTCTCCCTCATTATTCAGAACAGCGTTTGAATAGAAAACTAAAACCAAAATCTCAAAAATAAATCTTGATCTATTGTAAAATACCACAGCACTTCTTTGAAACAGTAACTTCTCATAAACGTACACATTTAGCAGGCCGGCCTGTATTTTGTATTATTATTGCAACTATTATTATTATTATTATTTAATTTGATTTATTAAAATTCAATATTTTATGTCATTTGAAATAGGGAGGAATACCCTAAGGTGAAGATGCACGTTGCGGACTGTTTATTGTGACCTCTTCCAGTAGATTGCTCATCTATGCTTCAGTTTATAAGGGGAGAGGGGCAATTCCCTTTGGTTCGTCAGCCACTCATTTGGGAGAATGCTGAGAATGGGATTCGGCCGGATCTATTCCCCACGCATGTTGCAGGTGTAGCAGAGACTGGCTCAGACTCAAGGGACACAAGGGTCTCCTATATGTCTGGCTGTTAGGGCCCTGTACCTGGGGAGCTTCGGGCGCATTGGTTAGAATTGTTATACGCGCGCATCTCTGGGGCCAACACAAACAGGCCGGGGCCAGGGCCTCGCGCGGCTGTGACACGGCTCTGACCGACTGGCATTATGACCGTTGAGGTGGATAAATGCAGTTTAACACTATAGGCCTATACATTATCTTCGGGGAGCGACTGACGCGTGAGCATCCAAGCAACGGATGCCTAAACCCCCACGCCTCCTATACAACCATCTGTTCAATAAATAGTTGAATAAGTGTCTGTTAATACAAAGTTGGCTATTGCCCACGTGACCACAGCGTATTTATCAGATCGAGTATTAGTAAACAATAAACTTGGGCAAAGTTGGGTGAGTCGTGTGTCCTTGTCTCGGGCACAGCTGTGCGAAGTGGCGCGCACAATAGGATCAATGCGGGGGCACGTGCGATTCGCAAGACCCAGGCCGTCAATGGGCAGTCCACACAATAGACCCCAACTGTGCCAGCGCTCGTTCCGTTAATTATGGCGTGACACTTGCTGTGAAAACTATAGCCTACAAATGCTATATGTCGGGATTTTATGAACAACAAGGAACACTGTACTGTTGCTTGTGATAACGTTATATGGTGGTATGAATTAGGGAAAAATAAAAGAGAAATTAAATATTATGCCTATTCATAGCGATAGTCAGAATTCGAAATTAGGCGTACAGTAAGTAATTTAGCCAAATGAGAAACGTTAGATTTGACTCAACTGTTACAAAGCGTCTCAAACAGTTGCTCATGTGAGAGTCACCTGCAGTGCTCCAACGAAGGCTGCATGCGCTGAGGATCTGCCTCTCCTCTGCACTAATTAAGATACTGGCTACAACATGACGCTGTAAATGGAGGAAAACAGTTGAGTGAGCGAGTGAATAACACACATCACCTGCTCTGCACCGCACTGAGCTGTCAAAACTACTTAAGCGCATACAGGGACGCGCGTCTCTCCCTCAGCCAGTACTACACTGCGGGTAATTAAGTGGAAAATTCATAATCCAACCGACTAATGAAAAGATAGACAATCGATTAGGAGAGTTAATACAGCGCACAACGTAGGCCCACGTGGTGCTAAAACCACAGACTGAACCGATACAGCAATTAAATGACATTCAACTGATGCACGAATGAAGCTGTGGAGCGGTATGGAAATGAAGAGAAAAGACACACTCATAAATTGAAAGTTAAATTAATTTAATAGACCTCTACAGGTGTTTGGAGTTAAGTGTGTCGTTGGAGTCGAAACAGACTGTAGACTGTGATACTTTGAGGCCCACGCTCAGCCCACCCTCCCGGCTCTGAGATGCCCATCTGCAAATAAAACAGCGACAAGTGCGCCCGGACAGCGGCCACGAGTCCGCCACGCGCTTTGAGGGACGTGATGGGAGTTGATGATGGGAGGGGCGTCGGGAGGAGGGGCTTACATGGCTAAACGTAAAAATATCAGCCGGGACAAGCCATAGGATGAAAGTTCCCTGCACGCTGATGGCTGTGTAGAGGTAGCGGACTCTGGGGCACGGAGCAACGAGATTAACGCGACCCTTAAGGACTGAACCCAACCCCTACTGAGGGAAAAGACACTTAACAGCGGACAGAAGAGACATTAAGCAAAACTGTAAGTTCTACTATTCTTTACGATTCCATCCTGAGCCTCGCCTCGCCTCTTTAACATGTAGCCTAATAAAGACATACATTTGAAAGACAATTCATACCTTGAATCCACTTTTATAAGGCTTACACTGGTTTCTTACTATATGTTTGAAAGTTGACATTTCATTTTTTCCATGATGACAATCAATAATAATTTGTTATTCAAATAAGGCTGTGCAGACCTTTACATGTATCCTATTCAATCTTTGAACGTTAAGAGGGATAAATCCCGTTGTGTCCCTAATTGACAGTGCATTAAAAGCTGCAAGCAATTATTCCATGTGTATGAAAAATGAGCTGTCCACACATTTATGCTGAAAGGATGCTCTATTTGTTAACTTGCAATACAAAAGACTCTTTCTAAAGCTGTATGTTTGTGTTTTAGATCAACATGATGACCAAAAGCTTTGGTAAAAGTGATGTCAGCGAGCTGGTCAGTTCCCTCAGCTGGTTGGAGGAGGATGGCAGCTCTCAGGATGGAGATGAAAGCCCCGAAATAAGAGGGCATCATGGCATGACCTTAGCCAGTCGGATGAGTTCTTGCACTGAGCTGGGCAGTGAGGACATGGAGGAAGAAGAGGAAGAAGATGATGATGATGAAATTGGAGCAGATGGAGAAAATGCTCCCAAACGCAGGGGTCCTAAGAAAAAGAAGATGACCAAAGCAAGACAAGAGAGGTTTCGTGTCCGACGGGTCAAGGCCAATGCACGGGAGCGCTCTCGAATGCACGGGCTAAATGATGCTCTAGATAATCTGCGCCAAGTCATGCCCTGCTACTCTAAGACTCAAAAACTGTCAAAGATTGAGACACTGCGACTAGCCCGCAACTACATCTGGGCTCTGTCCGAGGTGCTGGAGAGTGGCCAGTCTCCAGAGAGCAATGGTTTTATGGAGATGCTTTGCAAAGGCTTGTCTCAGCCCACCAGTAACCTGGTGGCAGGCTGTCTACAGCTGGGCTCCACTCCTGTGGTACTAAACAAACTGGAGGAGAAGTGTGGCCCAGGTTTGGCCAGTGTTACAGGCCAGACTAACGCTCTCAGTTTCCCATCGCCGGGCCTCCCTAGTCCCCCATATGGATCCCTGGAGGCCTCACACCTTCTACAGATGAAAGGCTTCAAGGGACCAGCCTATGACAACCCCTCCTCAACAGACTGCAGCAGTGGGACGCCTCCGTACGATGGGCCCCTGACTCCCCCTCTGAGCATCAGCGGTAACTTTCCTCTGAAGCAGGAGCCCTCTCCTCACGACTCTGACAGGAACTTCAGCTTGCACCCTGGACACCCAGCTCACTACCTCTCCTCACACCACTACCCTGCTGCAGGCAGCCTGACTGCCCACCAAGCACACCCGCTCTTCCAGGCTCGCTTTGAACTGCCTCTGGACGTGGCCTTTGACTCTTTTGCTTCCTCTCACCTGGTCCCTCCTCAAATGGGATCTATGTAAAACACTGTGGGACCGTCCCGTTACAACTACTGAAGACTATACATTCTTCTTTGAAGAGCACAAACTCAAAAATGATGATGAAGATGCAACTGCAAATTTTAAGTTTTTATTTATTGGTTTCTTTAGGAAAATATGTTACTTTGATTTAGAATATTATCTATCATTGGAACTGAACATGAAATGACCAAATATTTTTTAAAAGAGGTTTTAAAAAGTGATACCCTCTTTAACCGGACTTAATTGTTTTTCCACCAAAACGAACAATACATTTATTTATATCTGTATTTAATATTTATTTTGAAAACAGTTTTTTTTTTCTCACAGCACACATTTTGTTTCTGTCTACTTGGTGTTTGTCAGTCAACCTCACTTGGACTGTATTTAAATTATTTATTTGTCTTTCAGGTTTGTTTTACAATTGGTGTTGCAGAATGTGTAAATATCAACCATTGTAAATATTTTGCTGTTTCGCACTTAATTAAATAAATATTCTTATATGATACGGTATTTGTCAGTATAAGGAAGGCTTTCTCTTTCAGACTTTTCTACCACATGACATCAACTTTTATACTTTTTGCCACATAATTTATCTTTATTTATTGTGTGATATCAATAGAATAATCACAAACTTTTTAAACTCATCAATAGTTGTAACATACTGTGGGCTTTGAGGAGCACAGGGTTTCCCAGGTCAGAAGGCAGCAAAGGACCATGGGAAAACTGCTGTGGGAAACAGGTGAAAGTGTCAGGCTTTTCGGAGTCTCGTGTCTCTATCGTTGTGTTCTTTCCCACATGGCCCATTTTCCCACCTCGCTCATGCCAAAACACTGTAGGGCAAAAACTCATTAACACATCCTCCTTTGAAAATTGTGCCATTCGTACATTTACATTCTTAATTATTACCACATTGTCCTAGACAAAACTGGCACAGGTCCAAATATATTTATATTGGGCGGCAGTAGCTCAGTTGGTAGAGCGTTGGCCTTTGAGCCAGAAGGTCGTGGGTTCAAGCCCCGCTCAAGACTTTCACCATCGACTCCCACTGACTACTGTCGTTGTGTCCTTGGCAAGACGCTTAACCTCTAGGAACACCAGCCACAGTGGGGCGGCTGCGGCCGTAAAGTGCCAAACTGCCGTTGTGTCCTTAGGCAAGACACTTCACCCCCATTGCCTAGAATGAGTCTGGTGTGTGTATGAATGGTGGCTGGTGGTCGGAAGGGCCGATGGCGCACAGTAGTAGTTTATCACCACCGTGTTTGGAGTGAATGAATAATGACACATGTGAAGCGTCTTTGAGTGTCCAAAAAAGCGCTATATAAAACCGATGCATTATTATTATATCATTCAAGTGATTTAAGTTTCTGTTTTGACTTCTGTATTGATGTTTATGGACATAATGGCCCTTGATGTGGACAAAAGAATGAGGTGGAAGAAATGAGAGGTTGAGTGCTATAAGAGCCCACTGGGGTGCACAAGTGTGTTTATCAGTGAGGTCTTTCAGCCCGTTGTACAAAGAGAAGTCTGAGCCTCAAGAAGGATGCAGCGAGTGGAGACCCCACCTCTTCAGCTACCTCTCTTAAAAGGTTTGTCATTTCCAGTCCTGCAATGGCACAGAAAGACAGCATGCTGGAGAAAAAGGGAATGATTGTTAAACCGGGCGCCACTGGCCTATTGTATATGCAGCCTGTTCTTTCTCTTGACCTGTGACCCATATTGTTGCATGGATTGGAGTAGTAGGGAGGCGGGAGTTCGTTCAGGCAGCTGGGGGAGCTGCGGGAGGCTGACGGACAGCTGGGCCAATTTGAAGCAAAGGGAGAAGAAACAGAGGGTGAGAGGTTTGAGTGCAGGATGAGAGCAAAGAGAAGGAGCGTTAGGGCATTTGTGACAGAGTAGAGAAGTCAGAGGGCAGCGCTGAGAGAGCATGGGTGACAAGTGTCGCTGCTCCCAATTCAGAAATCTCCTTTCATGAGTGTCAGTCAGGCCAGTGGAGGAGTACATAGCTTCACATTCTGTGCCTTGAAAAAGTATTCATACCCAATTAACTTATACACTTTTTGTCGTGTCACAACAACAAACTAAAATTGTATTGTGAAGTGAAAGCAAAACGATACAAAAACTATATAAAGCCCCCTGATAATATTTGGAGCTGCCGTTTCTACCATTTAAGTTTCAAGTCAATGGGGAATAAGTTTATAAGCTTGACACATCACTTTATCTGCCAATTAATTTTATGATAGCTTAAGGCCAGTCAAATAAAGGTTGAGAGAATTGGTCAAGGGTGGTTTATCACTTGGATTTTGGTCTGGACTTTGACCGGGTCCCTCAGACACATGTTTTGTTTCAAACCATTCCATTGTATGAAAAGACTTTATTTTTATGGAAATGAAAACCTCCATCTCACCCTTGAATCACTTACTGACTTCAACAGCCTTCTTTAGTGTCCTGTATTTTGCTCCATACAACTTCCAATCAACTGACACTCCTTCGTGTCTCCCTCCTGAAGAAAAGCAGCCCCTACCACACGTGGTCAAGAAAGGGCAGATTTGTGTAGTTTAAAACTAAATGTTTCCCCCAAGAGAGCTGAGGAATGTCAAATGTTTTCCCGTTATGTAATTTTTATTTAGTATCTACTTGCTCAAATTAGTATCAATATTAGTTTTAGTATTGATTGATTTCTGATGTCCCTTTGAAACTCCTATGGTCAAGTGTAAATAGATCAAAGACGGCATGTCAGGAAATAAAAAAAGAATGCAATGCTGGTGCTTTTAATACGTAGGTTGTTGTGCACCATAACATAGCTAATGAATAGGAAAAACATGCGTCACACATGTTCCTCTGCAGTTAGATTTTAATATTTTAATTTAATTGTTTGAGTCTTTCTTTTGGGATAATCCTCAACTAGCATAGTCCTATTTCAAACCTGGTTAAGTTCCAAATTTGAGTAATCTTGTTTGAGACCTGGTTAAGTTTTGGTTCTTGAAGGTTAAACATTTAGGCATAATGTGGCGGTGAATGAGTTTCTTATAGATATACTGGATGTGAAAAGTTAGAGAACCGCTGTAAGGGATCATGCTCTAACTTTGCTGGTGGCCGTTTTAGAACGTAATGGGAACGCAGCACATGCTCAAGACAGGCAGAGGCTGAGGATCAGAGGTCACGTCCCAGATGAGCTCACAGTGGGACACGCTGCACTTCAAATCTGATCCACTAACTTCCTGTGTGCCCCGTGGATACGCACCAGCAACAAACCACCAGATCACTTTCACCCATCTGCACGAGGGGCCTTCTACTTAACAGGAAAACGTTTCAAACACTGGAATTGAAAACATTACATTTCTGAGAACTGATAATAGGTCATTATTCAGATAAACATATCTTGTTTTTTCATTACAGCATAAGCCAGATGTAATTCTTTTTGTCAGCCAAAGTGAACTTCTCTGGTCTTGTGGAGACCTAGAAGATTATGGTACAAATTTCTCAAAAACACACAGGAAAGAAAACCAGCCGGGTGATAAAATACTATTTTTAAAATGGATGCATGACAACTAAGTAGAGTAAATGTGTCCTTGATTCCCCCTGATTCTCTCGTGTGCGTGTATTTTAGTGTTGTCCACAGCGTGCTTAATCCACTGACCAAACAAGAGTGGCTCTTGCTAAAATGAAAAGGTCCTGATTCATAGGAGCGAGATGGAGGGATAAAGAATTGTGATTAAGATTGTATTAATGGGGCCATAGGAGGCTGGAAGGCTTTAATCAGTGTCTGTGAGGCACTAATCCTGGTTCCTTTAAGCTGAGGCCCTGCACAGTGATCCCCTGCTCTCCGCACATGCGCACACACCACGCCTCTGTTGGGAGTGCCCAGGTTGAGAGGTGCCATACACTGCAACTGAGACACAGACTTAAAATAGCAGCTGGTGGAAGAATGACCCGAGATGGATAGAGAGAAATTTGGATAAAGAGAATTAAAGATTGTGGGGCTGGTGTGGTGACACAATGGACTTGAACCAGGGGCCACAATGGGAACTTGTCAAGTAATTAAATACAGTACAGGAAATGCTATTTAGCGTGCTCTCCACAATGGTCACTTTCAATGCTCCAAAATTAATCTCTGAGTGAATTCAACTTATGCACATTTTATAGTCTAGCTGGAGATTTTGGATGAAGTAAAAGCAAAGGGCAGTTCTGAGGCCTCATTACCTATGGAAGAGGGTTTAAAAGGTGACATTGTGTGCAGGAGTATAAGGGGTGGAGTGTCTCCACCCCAAATTCTGTGAGAGCATTAGGCTGCAGGAGTTAAAGAGCTTCTAATGGGATGTGGATGCTGTCGTGTTTACCCTGGCCCCCCTCTTCACGCCCACTGCTTTGTGGAAGTTGCTGAGCTTTGGGACTCCACAATAGGCCAAGTGTAGGGACAGATGGAGGTCCCTTTTTGAGGAGAAGGCACAAAAAACAGCCAAAGGTAGGAGGGTTGCTGTCTGAGGCATAAGCGGCATCATGCATGGTGCCAGGAACGTGGGAGAACATGAAATGTGGAGGGAGAGGGCCAAGAGAAAGGGGATTTAGATTTGGAGCTAATTATAATTCAACAAGAGTGTAACTCAGTGCTGTCTTTGCTCGGTTAATCTGTCAGCACATAAACAGGATCTAGCCTCATTCACATGGACTTGGGTTTATACTAAAAACAATATGCGTGTGTCAGCTGCCCTGTGCCAGCCCTAAGAATTCTAATAAAGAAAAAAGGTTTGAACATTATCCATCAATTTATTGCATGAAATGATGCCTGTCATTCTGCCACACAAGGAGTTTCAAAATGAGTCCTATAGAAGGACAGCTTTTGAACTGTGTGAGATATGTGTCGACAATTAACTAGATACTGTATTCTACTGCTCATTGTGTTATGGTTTAAGGATTTAGTGGTATGAAAATTTAAAAAATATATCGCTCTCTGTATGAAGGTGTACAGTTATTCTCATATGGCAAAGTGGTTACATGACACTATTTCAGACAGTTCTTTGAAATCAAAACTAAGATTGTCACTTTCAAAGACACAATGTTGCACAATAAGTTAAATATTGTTTTTATATTGCTAAAATGTTTAAAGCAACTGACAAATACGTCATGTATTTGGGCCTGTGTTGGGGTCTCTTGTGATAGATGCTGATGAGGGGAAATGAGAGCGGCTGGAGGAGTCTGAGGGAGGTACCAGCGCAGCAGCAACAGATGGGGCTGGATGGATGAGAGCTCAGGTTGTAAACTTTCTGTTGGTAACATCTGTCAGTTTGTCCATCTGTTCTTTCACTGTTTATAGTTTTAGTCCAAATTCATTCATTAGAAAAGTGAGAGAAAACCCTGAATCCGTGTGAGATAAAGACCAAAATCTACATAAAATACACCCATTACCTGACGTTTAATTGAACGTTCATATGGACCATGAATGGGGGAGGGCAACATGTGCACATTGCTCCACTTCAAATCGAATCCAATCAAATTATTACTGTAGCACCATTCCCACAGTTAAGCCGTCTCTCACACATCTGTGCCACAGAGACTGTCACGGTGATCAAACTGCCTTTGTTCATTTTGATGAGCTAAGATAAACGGATACGCATTTAAACCTTATTATAGCCATTACTGTAAACAGCATTATGGTTCAAGAACGATGGATTAGAATACAATTGAAAAACTGCAGTAATTAAATACAAATGGAGTACTTTCAGGATATATCAATTATGATTGCCATATCAGTTTAATCATAATGGATAATTGATCATGGGTACATCTTTACTGTGCTTTATGAGTTGTTTTAGTCAACATATTTCCCCCACACCAAAAAAATAAAAATAAAAAAATCACCTGGAAGGAATTTGACCTTTTAAACTAAAAAATATTCCCACTTCGCTTTTCTCTGTAGTGAGGGGATAAAGAGAATTAAGCATCAGATCTGGGTCCAGTGGCCCGAGTGTTACATTAGACATTAATCCAAAACACAGAGGATGGAGAATGGATAGCATCTTTAATCCGATGCTGCATCTAGCCAACTCTCCCACTGGCCAATAATAAAACACGACAGTAGTGTTGGGGAAGTTAACAACACATTCCATTTGTAATAAATACATTTATATATAAAACTATACAGTATAATTGCATTAGTGACTAACATGTAGCAGTGTTCTGTGTGTAACTTTGGAACTGGTCACTCCAAACACTGGTGAGGGTTTGGTAAAGATTAAGATCAAACTTTAGAAGTTAGGGAGTAACAGTTTTGAGAAGGACGTCATGGAAGTTATACTTTGTGGCCTTATGTGAATTTGATTTATTTCACCCAGAAATATGTACAGATCCAATTGTATTTCATGCTCATTAGATTTCACTAATAGGCCTTCTACAAACTAACCTAAATCTCAAATGCAGTTTCCCTGTCGGAAGATTTTTATCTTAATAAAATAAAAACGAAATAAAAATCGTCCATTGTTTACGTCGATACTTGTAGTAGCCCCAATGCACCCACAAGTCCACAAACTTGAGCTGGGCGCAGCTCCCAGTGCAGTCCCCCTTATGTGACAGATGTTACTGGGGCAACAGTTGGTATTGAATGGGAGGGGCTTCAGGCCATCTGTCCAGGGTCAAGGTTTGAAAAGGGGTGGTGGACATGGTGGCAAGTTCAGGAAAATGGCAAGTATTTTGCAAGAAAAGGAAATATATCCCACATTAAAATGCAGTGAGCTTTCATTTCAGTATCACGAGTAACAGGGACGTCTGCCCTAAATCTATGTGTGCGTGTATGCAGCATGTCTGCAAGTAAAAAGCCTGAGCGCCATCTTGTGGAGACATTTGCGACTACAACGTAGAGTGTAAAATCATAAAACAAATTTAATATAAATTGCACATCAAATTACAAAACAAATATATATACAAAAAAAAAAAAAAAAAAAAAAAAAAAAAATCACAAAGAAGCCAGCTGCGACTCCAGTGACTCGAGTGTATGGTCCATTTCATCGCGGAAATATGCCATCTTTTTGAGACAAACCTTTCTCTAGAGAACAGAAAAGTACAAGATTGGCCACAACGGTTAAGATAAAATAATATGTATACGTACAAAGTAGACTGCAAAGCGTTTCATCTCCATGTGACCGTACTCTGCGGTGGTCATCTCTGCAAAGTCCTTACTCATGTTCAAAAAGCCACAGTTTGGAGAGCGTTTCATGTGTTCGGACCTACACACACACACGTTTATGACATTGCATTACATTTTAGGCATTGCAAATTTTGTTTGCAATGCCTAAAAATGACCAAGTATCATGCAAATGGTTGTTCTCATTGAAATAAAGCATGTTATGTTAATAATCATAATGTAAAATACATTGCTGCTCACAATATAATCATTACAAATTTGAAATGTTACACAAATCCAACAGGTAAAATTCTATCCATTCTTCTTTCAGTTCATCTTTCTCGAGGAACATGTATTTATCAGAATGAAGATCCATTCAATAGTGACTAAATTTGTGGGTTGTTACAATTCTAATGTTGTAAAATGCCTTCTGTAAGATAAGAGCCAACCATCTGCAAAGGTGATTCTGGACATAATCTACACACTTTGAAATAGAAAACAACACCATACATTATTTAAAGGTTATTTATTTGTAAGTTATATGTACTACTTGTTTTTAGGGTTGTAAACACTTCACCAAGGGTCATCATCTGGCTCCCAGCCCTCCAGCTCAATCAGACAGAAGAAACAGCATACGACATCAGGCTCATTGACACCAGGGCAGTGGACAAAGCCCGCCTTGGCCATCTACAATTATATGTATAAAACAGACATGAAAGTACATTTCAAATGAGCCTATATACCATGTGCCCAAGTTAACCAGAGTGTCAGGAAGTGGTTGTTAGTGAAAGTGATTGACTTTTGGCTCCTGGTCAGAGCTGAGCTGGTACATAGTACAAGACATATCACAGACTTGTCATCAGCCAATACGTCAAAACTCGACGAGAGTGTGCTGAGCATGGCTACTTAAGACACCTGAGCCAATGTAACAGTAGCTGGCCAACCTGGCACCTGCTTGAGCGTAAATCACAGCCCGTCACTGTCATTGATGAAGTGCTGAAGATGTTTCTGCTGCGTAAACAAGCTTGGGTCTGTAATAATCAGACTGTAAATATTAATTATAATCATATCATAAAATAAGGTTTATAGCTCATCCTATGACGGCTGTACAATTAATACGTTGTATTTAGTGGGCAATTATTTATTATAAACAAACATAAAAGAAGCCTGTAAATGACTGCAACCACTACAATGTTTTTTCCCCCCTAAAAAATAATAAAGTAATTTGCTGCAAAATATTTTAGATGGAATAAAATGTGCAGAGCGCATACTGTATATCTAAATCCTAATGTGTGAGCAAGACTTCAAGTCTTACACTGGAAATACGTAGTCTACCTTTTCGGGGGTGCAGTTGCATTCTTCTCGAAATGGCCAGCCTAGAAAGCTCTGTTGGCGCAGGTCATCAGAATACAGAGCTTGAAAAGAGAGAAATCTGGATGACAACACATCGATGGTTGCCATGTCCAACACTGTGGATCAGATGAACGTAGATAATACAATACACCCATGATGCAGCATCGGAAATCACTTCAATAGGTTCAATCAGAAACACCTGTGCGCCGCTGACCTGCCTCCACACTGCCCCCTGCTGGGCTCTGCTACCTGCTGAACACTGCCCTCTGCTGGACACTGCGCTCTGCTGCACGGCTGCACACGCAGAGCCTGCCGGTCAGTGATGATGCTTACCTTGTTATAATACACCCATGCTGTAATGGCGTCCTAAGCTGTTCCAGGTCATGTTTTCATATTTGCATATTTCTGTGGTTGTTGTAGGTCGTGCGCCCATATAAATCCGCCACAAACAACACACGACGGGGCAGAAGGTATTTATTTGACAACAAAGCTTTCGGGTTAATTTAAGCACATGTTTCACTAAAACTCGAAGACACTTGTGAGACTTTTAAGTTTACAATGCTGACTAACCGAGTTTTTTCCTTTCGTGCCAGTTTGTTTTGTCATACTATTATTGAATGTTTTTTGCGTGTTATTTTTTGGAAGTGGTTCAACAAATATTTTTGTATTTAATGACTGTGATTTAATGAAAGTGTCAATCATGATTAACTTAAGACACATAACTTTTGCTATAATTCAAAATCTAATAATAACAGCTATGTTGTATTATAATTATATGTTTTATTTTTTATAATGGGGCCATTAAGAAGTATTTCCAAACCATTATAAACGGTGCATGACTATCTCATACTAGTGCAGCCAGTTATCTTTCATACTGGCACTGTAACTCTATCCCTCTGGCAAAATGTGCTTACAAATACTACACCAGAACCACTCACTCTTCCAGCTGACCCTCTGGTAGGCTACATTCAGAAGTCTGTATACACCAGCCTGAAATGTGTGTTTTATTTATGTGAAGATATCCATATGTCGGATGCAGCGATAAACCTCTGCCTTTACAGTCCTGGATTGAGGTGGACAACTGCTCCATAGGTGTTGACAGGTCCCCGGTCTAAAAGTGCTGTATGGTGAGTGGCTGCCTCCTGCACACACGGCTGAATCACATCTACCCCAGAGTTTCCACACTTGTCTGCTACTGTTTTCACTCCACATTTTTCCATACATTGAGATTGTTCACAGTTTTTCTCAATGTTCGCATCTTATGTCAATATACTGTATGTCCCTGATTTTTGGGGCATTTGACACATCTGTGTTTAAGAACAAAGTGACTTGGTGGTAAATATAAAATTGAATTAGAGTAGAGAACAATGATAGGTTTTCAAATACTCTTGGCTCAGCTGATCTATTTGTCAACCATTCCTGCTTTGGATTGCTCTTTGTACCTCCATTGATATACGATTCTGGGTCTTCCAGACCCTACCACTCCCAGTCTATAGATTGATGTCCCGACTTCAGACACATTTGACCTTACATTTACAAAGTAAAGGGAGGTTTGCTCTTGCTCTGACTTTTCACACCCGCCTGTAACTGAGGGAGGAGAGCAGCAAGGTGCATAGGAGGTGTATCAGGCTCTTTCTACATGCCCCTAGTTTGGCTCTGGGATGTACATCTATGTTGGAGACGAAGGAAACTGATACCTCCAAATCAAATATTCATTTTTTTGGCCACTTTAAAGAGGAGTTTTCAGTGAACCTGTGCAGGCTGTGAATTGGAAATAAGAGTTCAATGTGGACAACAGGTACGTGCTGGGAATTGGACTGTAGAATGTTTACTGTTGCATGATACTGTATGATATGGATCTGGGTGCCTAGCATGTTTGTAATGAGAGAATATACTTTGATCTTCAGAATGTTTTAAAGCCTGCAATGTAACTTTTGAAAAGTAGTTCTGGTGTTTTTTCTGTGTGACATAGCACATACAGTACATTAAGTAGTAAATCTCTTGAACCAAATTAAATTCTAGTGAAGATCAGAAATCATGATTGCAGGATATGTATGTACTGTAGGATAGTATTATTCCAGTTCAACATGATGGATCATTAAAGCTTGGTTACCCAATTTCTTAAGCCACAATCATTTAACTATGTAATGAAATCCATCCAACTATTTTTTCTCTCAAAAGCAGTTTTGTTAGTTTTCCCATGTATGTATTTTATGGTGGAAATCTAATGGTCGATTTATGGATTAAACAGAATTTAGCCATTAACCTCTTTGCTAGAGGAAATAAATTGTGAAAAAAGTTCTGAAAGATCGAACAGTTGAATGTGTGAGAGAAGGTCACATTAAGTTCACCTGCCTCGGTTGTAATGCCTGAAAACCGAATACCTTTTTCTGAGTAGTGTATTTTGTGAAAATATCTCTCAATAATGTTGTGAAGAAAATGTACTGCATTTTGTGTTATGAACTGTAAATGCATTGCTAAAGTGGCTAGTTTTCGTTAGGTGCGTTAGGTTGTTTCTAAAGTTGGTTCAAAGGCGTCGCTGGAGGACCCCCAAAGGTTGGCCATTCAATTACTGGTTAGAATTTAAAGCAAATCTAAGCAACATTTTATTGGAAATATTACACAATTACTGTATTGTAAGTTTATGTTGATATGAATTCAAAAGGAAAAGCATTGCAAATTCTTCAATATAATGTGCAATTTAATATTGGGTGGGTCCCACGATATCTTTTGATTGGTACTGGGGGCTGAGGAGCTCCGGAATTTGTAAACTGCTGCCCTACCGTGATGATCCAATAGCCCTCTGGTCTCAAAAAGGTGTCAAAAGGGCTTACACTCAGCTCATAAATCTCATAAAACTAAATTAATAAAAAAGTGAGTTATGCAAGAATAATTGTTTTGTGACTATTTTATAGCGCATACATGGCCTTCAACAGCGTAGGCCCTGTAACAGTAGAGCCATAAATCATTGAGAGCTGCTAAATGTCAAAGATTACAATCTGCTCAAAACAATCTGCAAAATGTTTACTTGTCACACTGCATAATAACATGTGGGAGTATTTAGTCTAGTGGGCAGCATAGCAGGAATTGTAGCAAAGTTTGAACAAGTACAAGATACAAGCTGCAGAGGAGAGACATCCTGTCCCGTGATACTGGTGCTAAAATGGCAGCGATGTGTGAGAGTGTGACGGTCAACATCAACATTCTCCATCAGCACTCCCACCTGACCACACGCACCTGAACGCTTACATCCACTGGCAAAGTCAGGACCTTTGTAATGTTCAACAAAGACATGTGTTTTCTAACTTCTGAACCAGGAGCCTTCAACCTTTTTATCTCTGTAGAGCTACTTTTTGTAGACAAAATGAGAGAGAGCTCCTCAAGTGGACTCAACGGAGAAACGTAATTCATGTAGGTTTTATTTATGTCTGCCTGTCTGTCTAAATATTTTAGGCATTCAAAAAATAATATAATTAAAATTATTGAGAAATAGGGTCGAGCTATACCAGCTCCTGATTTACAGTTTGGAGACCCCAGGTATAGACTATACAAGGATGAAGAAAGAGAGGGCATGAGAACTGGAGCTACATGTGTGGGCTCTCCTTTGGATTTTGATCTTGATAGTACTATCAACTAATTCCAAATATTGGCATTGTATCCAAAACGGCTATAAATACTTTTTGAACTGGTACCATGATAGATTTGGATATTCTAAAACTTGATATTGTTTTTGTAATGTAATATGAACATCACACAACCCTATGACCTCATTTACAGTCCATCCTCCACACTGCCAGCAGTCAGGTCAGAATGAAGCAGACTGAACACACTGGCTTAATTTTACTATCACTGTAATTCATGGTCAGCCCTTACGCCTAGGTCTTTATTCTTTTAAGATCATAAACTTGTGTTTCATTGCATACACCCACTTTGTTATGGGATTTACCGCTTGTGCTAGGTTATACCTTCTCACCCCTGACCCTCATAGGCAGAGTCTAAATTCTGCACCACTGTGCCAGGGAGACTCCCTCACAACATTAAGTATGGAACGTATGAATGCTTCATACAAATGTGTCTTTATCACTGAAATTGAGAAATGCCTGTGTGTGTGTGATGAAATAAAATAGTCAAGTTAAAAACTTTAATTTTACTTGGCTGTTAGTTGCCAGCTCTCCTTTAGGAACTAAGCTGTCAGACTCATAGTATTTTACTGGGAACTGGGATATTTCCCACCTCCCACTTGGAAAAAGGCCTTGGAACGCCACTCATACTGTTTCCTTGTATGAGGTCAACTGTACAATTTTTTGCTTTAGAAAACATAAACCAAAAAAAAGTTAATTGGCTGGAATGTTCTGAAGTGGGAACTGGGAATTTTCAACTGAGAAATATCTCACTTTCCAGTTGCCTGGAATGCAGCATTAGCCTGTGTGGATTTACAGTTGACAAATCTATAGATTGACTATTTAATATCTAAGTAGTTTTAAAAATGTTAATGCTGATTTATTCCTAATATCAAACAAGACAACACAGAAATAAAACAATAAATCACAACCTAAACAAGGGCCATAAATGTTGGACCCTTCTCTGTTTGAGACCCTTCTGTATTATACCAAGCTGTGTATTTAATAGGAAACTGTGTCACTTACATAAAGGACAACTAAGGCCTGGGAACATATCCATAGCAGCTGTACCTTGTGGCCTGGATTCTAAAGAATGTGTTGACACCATATCTTATTAAAACCATCTGAAGATGTGTGGCAGTAACCAAAGCTGCTGATCATCAGCTGTACAACGGCTACTGTAGTCGTCTTTGCACTTTGCACGCATTTTAGGTAAATGGCCAGCAGAGGGCACCACAGAATAATCTAACTTTTCAACTTGTTAACTACAACTTCAAGTAATTTGTATACAAATTATATAACTTTTATAAATACTATACAGTATGTAAGTTATCTAGAATATTCTACTGTACCCAGGACATAAGAAAACATTCCATAATTTTCCTCCACTTCTCCAGCGCTCTTTGACTGTGTTGTGGTCTCTATTCCTTTGTCCTTGGCTCCTTTGCTCCTTCACTTCTTCACGTCTTCAGGCTGTGGATGATACTGAATCCCCACACTCCGATTTCACCCTCTCATCATGACATCCATTAAAGTTGTGCTGGGCCCTGAGCCCCATTGGCCCGACAGCACATTAGCACTCGGACCATTGAACGGCAACAAGGACCAACTGAATTATTGATACCAACACAACTAATGAGGAAACCCTATCTCAACTCTTTTGCTGACACACAGGTGTGCGTGGAAGAACCTGCAGACAGTGCTATATTGACGTATCATCTATTGTCCTTCATTCAGAAAATAAACTCTGCTGAGCCTGATTTGGCTGTTGTTGTTTGGAACCTGTAGATCCTCCAAGATGCACTAAGATACATATAATATTAAATGATCTCATAGAATACTGTGTGCACCTACACCACTTTTAGTGTGCACTGACAGTGTGCTGTGGAGGGCAGAGACCCTCTGTTGTGATTTGTGCTTGTAAGTAGTCAAGAGTTGGCTCACACTGACTTTGTGCATGCCATTTACTGCTGCTGAGAAGTACAGAGGTGTCAGTTCATACTCTTTAGTATTCTCTCCAACACTGAGTGAGTCACTCAGCCCTCAGTCAGGGAGGGGGCAGTGGAGATGAAGCGAGCAGGACAAGAGAAGCCCCTCTGAACACCACTGCTGTTTGTGTAGCCCCAGGCTCACGTGTTTGTACTGGTGTGTTTGCAAGCATGCTCACCCACGGGGATTAATTTGACAGCTTTGTTAAGCTTCCTCTTGCTCTGAAGCACAGGGCTGTGGGATGCTTTGAGGTATCGCTGCACGTATTGTGATTCATCTTGAGTGGGACATGACAGGAGACATTTTCTGATCAATTGGGCTTCGTGAAGGGGCTACAGACCGAGCAGTATAGACCCTTTATGTCCTCTTCATCCTGTAGTGTCATAGAGAAATAATCCACAGGGTTTTTCTGTTGCGTCCAACATGCCCCTTTATTTTCCTGTCCCCTGCTCGTCTCCTCTTGTCACCCACGTCTCCTCCATCCCTCTGTCAGTTTGTGTTTAGTTTCATCTCTCTCTGCCCCTCCTTCCACTGCTTCCTCTGCTCTGTCGCTTTCTATTTCATCTTGTGTTTTGTGCTTGCCGCCCCCTCCTCTGCACTCCCAGCTTGAATCACTTCCCTTTGTCAAAAATGCAGTGGTTGGTCAGATGTGCTGTAACCTTCAACATGCAGGTTAAGGGCTGGAGACAGCACAAGGGGAAAGGACAGAGCCACGTGGATGATAGGTTAATCCTTAAACAAGTCTGGGTGCCATCGCCAAATCAAAGGACGATGAGGGGGAGGGGCATAAACAACCACTGCAATAAACCCATCTGACAGTCAGCCCAGTACGTGTCCCCCCTTCATGACTTCCACTCTGCATGATGACAAGTGTGTGCAGCTTTCCCCATTGGTTGTGACTACCACCAATGAGAGTGGAGGCATGTAAGGTGCCTGTAGGTTATACCCAACACCAAAATCAAGAAGCTGTGTGAGGGTTGAGGCGATACAAGTGTGGGGCTGTTTTGTTTTATAGAGCAAGAACTGAACCAGGCACGACTCGCTGCAGTAAGGAACATCTGAAGCTGCCTCTTTGAAATCAGAAGGAGAAACTGCCTGTCAGCTTTTTATTGAAGAGCACATTGCAATTCCTTCAGGCTGCTGAGGAGAAGAAGGTCCCGGCTTGTGTGTGTGTGTGTGTTTGGTTGCTCCTGTGATTGGCTGTCGCACTTTAGGCTCCCCCTCCCCTCTCTTTCTCTCTTTCTAACCCCCTTTTCTCTCTCTCTACCCCTCTGCGACTAACCCCCCTCAAAGCACGTCTTTTACACTTACCTGAGCCACAACTGCAGAAGCACGGACCACCCCCCTGCTAACTCTCCTCGCTCACACACGCCCCCAGAGGTTTACCTGGACAGGGGGAGAGACGCAAAGGACCAGCATGTGCAGCAGTGTGTCCTCACCTCTCCTTGATCTGCCTCGCTGAGTTGCCTCTTTCTGGAAAGTGGCGAGGAACTCTGAAAAGACGTGCTTTTTTCTCACAGGCATTGTCCCTTTGATGCAAACAGGGCAAACGGGGGGACCGAGGAGCGCTTTCTAACCAGACCAAAGACAGAACACTCAGCATGATTTTAGGTGAGTTTGACTTGTTTCTGAAAAGGTCTTGTAAATACTTAAACTTGGACACAGGCAGCCGCTGCAGCTCTGTGGGGTCTATTAACAGCTCTGGACAAGAGACATCAGTCAATACTAAGCGCTGAGAGGAGCTTTAAATCATGGTTAATGCTTGTAATCACCCTAATAGTGTACCATTATTGTAACAGGTGTGAGTGATGACAGAGAAGGTCAAAGTGTTTGTTGCCCGACCATATCAGTTTGAGCTGTTTGGTCACATGACTGGACTCCACCATTTCTTGGATTTTTTTTACAGCTACTTTTCACTGTCACCTGGCACTAGTATAATAAAGCTATTCCTTTGGTATTGTTTTTTATTGTCAGCAAACCTGTATTTTGTGATTTGTCTTGATTTCAAGTGATTGCAGAAGCTTGAAAGCCTCCAGTATCCAATGTTGTCATTTTTTAGACTTGTTCAGTTCTGAGTCAGCCAGCTCACTTCTTTAGTATTCCGTTCTCATAGGGGCCATGTCTGCAAGTAGTCTGTGTAGCCCCCTATACAAGTAAGCCAGTGCATTTGCCCAGGCGGCGGATCTCACTGTATGTACACACACAAAGGTGCGCACATGCTCGACTCTGTTGATGCTATCAGAGACATGCGCGCTGCAGTGGTGATGTGAGTCGACTTGTAAAAATGAACTGTTGTGGATTGTGTCTTTGTTTTTGGTGTGTGTTGCTATGTGGGAGAGCTCACTTTGTTTTACGCATGCCTGGGCTGATTCAGGAGCTCTCCCGGCAGGCATGTTTTTCAAGCCGACTTCTCTAATGATTATAGGGAGGGAAGTCTAGGGTGTCTGAAGTCCTAGTGCATATTTCATTTAGCTCCAGGCCGATCACTTCTGTTTTATCCTGAAAGAGTCACTTTTTATGGTTTTAAAAGTACAACTTCTTTTGGACTTTTTCCAGAAAAGTGTAGTTGTTTTCTGGTGTGTCAAAGTACCTTGTGCCTCATTTAACAGTTAGACATGCTGTGTCTTGATCAGATTGCAAGTGGTAGCAAGATCTCCTGTTAATGATATTTGGCCAGAACTTGTTAAGAGCAGCTCTTTCAGTAAACACTAAAAAGAACCCTCTGGACCAAAGATTTTAACTGATGTGGCTTTCATTTGACCGGTTTGCTGTAGACCAAAACCTTTTTGGTATTTGGACATTGTCATTTTTTCAAAAGTACAAAATGACTTTTCTAAACTAAACAATGACTAATTAGGATATATGTGTTTAGTAGTTATTGCCACTACAGTACTACGAATACAGTATTTCTGGACATTTATATAACAGTATAACAATCTGCTGACATAATGATTTGACATTTGTGAATTTTCTGCTTTGAAAAGGCTAATGTCATTGTAATGACCTTTACCGTGTTGAAACTGGCTCAGATAAACCACATGCAAATATCAACAATCATTTACACATAACCTTGCCCTCAAATTGAAGTATAACGGAACAACATTTTGTGGTATGCCTTTGGCATTCTTTCACAGCAGTAATCTCTATAGGTGATTTCCTCAGGTGTAAAAGGCATGCAATGACACATGATTAGCCTTTTCATGGGAATTTGTCTGGAATGACCTTGAACAATAACCTTGCAGCGTGTCTTTATCTTAGTTGAAGCTCTTGGACCTTTCAGGCACTGTATACGAGGATGCTCTGGTGATGACAGTCCTGATGCTGATAATGGCAGTGGATGTGCTATTGTTGTACAGCACAACAGTGTACAGCACTGCAGGCAGCAGCTCCACAAGCCTCTGCACCAAGCTATAGGACCAGTACTAACCAGGGCTCTGATTTTATAAACTGTCTGCTTTATCTGGACATGGTACTGAACAGGAGACACACTTGTTTGTTTAGTAAAATCCTCTGAGTTTTTCAAATGTGAGTTTATTATTATGAATGTAAATGGTCCAGTGTAGGGCATCAGTCAGGATTGCCCTTAACCGTGATCAGTCTGTCTCTGTCTATTCATGCATGCAAGACTGCTCACATCTCATCTGTCTTCATAAAGCCTGTATTCTCGTTGACCTGTCTGCATTAGCCTGCTCCCCTCCCCCTTGTCTTTCACCTGTGCTGAGGTCACATCTTCATGTCCAGCTTCTGTTTTCACTGCTCTGTCTTTTTTTGTTAGGTTCAGAGTGATACAGTAATTGTTCCTTTGAAATGAGACAGAATTTGGAATCACAAATGCAATGACAAATTGTTATTGGGTGCTTCTTTGTTTTCCCCTCTATATAATTGGCATGCTTTACTCGCACTAAAACGTTCTGCAGTTAAATGCAAAATGTGTATACAAACTCATGTTGTTTCACTGTTCATATTTATTTCATATGCATTTCTGAATTGGCAATAGTTGTCTTGTCTAGCGCTGTGTAAGTAAGCTATGGATGGGACTTGACCTATTTTACCTTCTCCTGTAGCAATGTAGCACGTATATGAAGACTTTTTCCCAGAGCTGTAATTATGAAAGGCCACATGCACAAGTGGTGATCTAGGATGGAGGTTTAAGAGGGGGAAAAAGCCATTTTGATTGTGATGAACGTATATTAAAGCGGAGGATTGGGGTTTCCTTTAGGTACACGATTGACTTCATGAAGTGTTCACCACAGCAATAAGCTGCACTCTCTTGCATCTTCTTCTGGTTGCTCTTTTATCATGGAGAATGATAGACTAGAATTGATATTATGTGAGTAGGACTGTGTTTCTGCTCTTGTCACACTTGTGCTTTCCATTGCCCCATTTGTTTATGCTGAGTGACTGTGTGTCAGCAGCTTATCAATACCGTCTGTAAGAGGCACTAATGAACAGGCCTGTTATTGGACTGGTGGGATGGTTACTCTTTGTGTGTGAGTGTGTGTTGCAGAGGAGAGATGGAGGTGTGTCAGAATTTTGACGAATCAACCACTAAAATGACAACACCATATCAAAGGAACATTATTGCTGCACCCAAACTCTGCCCAGATGCGTTGTATCTTTTGTCGTGGGACAGTGCTGCTCTGTGAAGCGCAAGAGTCCACCTGCGTCATGATGGTGTCACATTAGTGCCGAGAGTGGCCGGTTGAATACTTACTGGAGTCCTGGGGCTACAAGACACCTGGGACCTGCTCCCTTCAAAATGGGGTCTGTATGCTCCAGCAGTCAGTGGAAAGGCACACACATGACCCCCATCCACCAGGTTGTGTCTCTTTGGTTCTAGGGCTGGGATAAACGATTATTTTTTAAACGATTAATCTAACGATTATTTTTTCGATGCATCGATTAATCTAACGATTATTTTTTTCGCTTCGATTCGATTTCGATTCGATTCGATTCTCGATTATCTCCCCATTAATTGACTAATATTGATGTATACATGTTGATTTAAATATTTTAATGAAAAAAACATGAATTCCTTCACAAAAAATATGTATTGCTTGCTCTTAAAATTAAAAAATAAGACATTCTTAGAGGTAGCATAAAACCTTAAAGCCTTGAAAACACAGCTTACTGAAAAAAGTGCATCTTATCATTCTTGAAACAAACATTTGATGCTTAGCATTCAATAAAAATATGAAAAAGTTCAGCCAAATACTTGTGTAGAGCAACTAAAAGAAAACAGTAACCAATGTAAACTTGAAGGCTTTAAGCTAAACAAAGAGTGCTTTTCCAGCAAAAACAGTGGGAGCCATCAGCCTGTCATGGCGTCCTTCCTGAACCAACAGTTTAACATTTAAGTTGAAGACACATAGGCCTATATTACTGAAGTCCATTAATTAAAGTGCATCTCTTAAATTCTTCATTCATATAAAAATAACAGTCAAAACTCTCTGCCACTCACCTTTTTCTTAAACTCAAAATTCAAAAATAAAATTCAAGTAAGAGTGTACAAGAGAAAAACAATGCATTGTGTAGCAAATAAAAAGGTCAACCAGTCATCCTTTCTTTTAGAGTTACTGAAAGAATACAGTAGAAGTCATCTCAGAGGACTTAAAACAACATTGAAGTCACCAACACAGATCAGAGAATCAATCAACAGTTAAACACATTAAGGATATTGAACACATGTTGAAAAATGTCCATATACGGCGGGCATGACAGTGAATAATACATGTAGGGGCTATTACGGGCGCCAATATTCCGTTTGATACAAAGAAAGACAAACCAGTTGCAAGCTGTAGAGTGGCCACAGGACGCGTCATCAGCCTACGTCAGCAGCCGCGGACTGCTATGAAAACATTAGCTTTGTGGTTTCACAGGCGCAGTTGACTGCTTAAACTAAACTTTGCACGAAACTTTGACTCTTAAAACCCACATGTGACAAAACGGAACCATCAACATCTCGCCTCAAATTGCATTAAAAGTGACATTCGTGTCTGAATTCGTTCGTATTTTAACTTTTAAAGAAATTCACGGTCCGCCATCTTGGTTTGCTTCGGCTGCCGTGAGACGCGCATGCGCAGGTTTGCATTACATGATAAACAGCTGAGGCTGTGCATCTCTTCAAGGCAATGTATCTCAGCGTTACACCGGCTTGCACTTCTCTAACACGGCACCATGGATGTATTATATTAACTGGATAGGGTATTACTAGCTTGTAGCTGAATAACTCATGTGCTCAGGGGATTCTCGCGGTACTGCAGACTGAACCAGACTAAATTCACGTGGGCTACCCAGAAATTTTCCCCATAGAACTCAATGCATATTAAAACAGCTCAACCTCAGCTGACAGAGAACCTACAGCTTTAATAAAGATCGGATTTTGTGGGGATTTTAGTGTCCCTTGTCATCCTGAACTTTTTTTCTTCTTAAATCCTTCGGTTTTGTTT